ACTCCCCCCCCCCCCTAAAAAGCTTCATCAAGCTATGCACACATGAGAGCAAAAAAACCCTTTGCAAACAGCACTTTGTTACATGAGAAACCTGAAGCACTACGAGCAGTTTAGCCTTTACTCTGTGCAGCTGGGCACCCCAATTTGACCCATGAATACCCTTCCCGACACCACCCAGCCTTCACTTCTGAAATCTTCTGTTAAACATATCGGAGCAGGAAATCATTAATGAATCACAGGGGCGTATTTGCAACAGCTTTTACACGTGCATCCAATTATAGCCAACATTACAACAGTGCCAAACCACGGGAAAACCCAAACAACTGACGAGAAATGACACCAAATACTCATTTACGTCAAAATGGCAATCTTTGTAAGGGCGGATAATTAACCAAGTAGGAACAGATGATGCGATTACCACAAAAAACAAGTCCACACTGAGTAATCTATAATTTCACTCGGACATTGAGGATATTCTTTTGGAGGGTTTTTTTTTCAGTGCGAAAGAGTATATTACTATTACTATTATGTTTTTCCTGTATTTGAAGGGTCTGCTGTACATACTGGATAGCTAACGGTCCAACAAAGGTAAGGGAAAAAATACATCTCACAAATTAAATACCAGACATTCAATTGAAAGAGAAATAGAGGTAATCAAAAGATAATGGAAAGTGTCCTTGGCTTCCGTTTTATGGCTTGTCAGTATTAAAACGGTCACATTTCGGCACAAACTGAGGAGCAAAGTAGATACTCAGGCACAAAAAGGAAGAGAAGGAAGCAGACTACACTAAAACCCCTTCACAGTCCTCATCACAGAAACAACGGTACTTACAGATGCATAATATTATAATATATTGATGAGAAAGACAGAGAAAGGACAGAAAAACATGACCTGCACTTACAGTACAATTGCACCCACAGACGCACACGCGTGCACACACACACACACACACACACACACTCAATGCATCAGGGCAGGGAGGAAAGGGTGGTGGGGACTTGGCAGCATTGTGTTATCACGGGACAACATGTTTTTAGCATCATCTAAAATTTCTCAACGCTGTAGGATAAACTGAGCAGACTAGAACGGGACTGAAATGTAACACCCTGGCTATGCACAGAAATCCGACTCCTGGCGCTGGGCTTTGTTTAATGCTATCAGTATCACTCGTTACAACAAATATGCGGTACAGTCTGATGGAAACTTTACAATGACATGCTGTCATTTCAGCCCTGTTACTTAGCCTGCCTTTTTCGAGAGGATGATCTTTAAAAAAAAGTCTACTCTTCAAAGAAACTGAACGCGTAAAACAGGGTTTCCTACTTACACTCAAGGATAATTTTTTACATTGGATTGCAGTGGAAACGTGGGTTTAACAAATGACGGGCACAACTGCCCGAAATTATTTTTTTTTTTAAAGACAAAAGGGTAGGATAAACTGGCATTTGTAGAACCTGAATAATGGGCATTGTTTTCTTAATCCCCAACACACAGTTGGATTCTCAAGGAGCACTTAAACCTCATAGTGTAATGTCAAAGATGCGGATCATAAACCAGCCAAAAGCTACTTTATTGTATTAATATGGCCATGCAGAGGCACTCAGCATGAAAACCGGAAGGCACTTTCTTCCAAACCAGAGCATCGAATGAACAGTACAAGGTGAAATATTACTCACAATCAAGGCAATGCATGATGAAATTATTTTCGCCATAAGCTCATAGAATTACAATGATACTATTGGTTGACATTTAAGCAGTCTGCGGTGCTTCCAGCTGCGCATCATCATAACAAAGTTATGATCACGACCACACGACTTCAGAAATCAGCCATACCCTGTGGTTCTTCCTATCTGGTCAAGTGTACCCTGTCAGACAGACCATACACTATTTCCTTGCCCAGTTCGGCAAGCATCGTACTTGTTCTTCTACTAAAGACACAGAGGTGGATGCAGACTGCTGACGTTTCATGCCACTATCAACAGAATTTAGATAATTTATAGAAATAGAAGTGGGCTATTTCATGCCTGCCTTACAGGGCGGCCACCCTGACCAACCCTTCCAGCTTTGGTTCCTCGAGTCACTCAATCGGTGAAGTTAATAGTTAATACATTATCACCATTATGTAACTAAGTAACAAAGGAAGTACAGGAAAAGCTCACTGAGAAAAGAATGTTATCTATCTATACAAACCTTGCTGGTGGCAGTGGCATCTGTATTCCCTTCCACAGGGTCATTGGTCACTTGCACGATGAGGTAGTCGTTGTTTACCAGAGGCCAGGCCCCTTTCACTTTACACGTTTGCGCTTCTTCGTAAAACGTCCTGATGTGCGGGTCTCCGAAGAGACTGCAGTGTCTGTAGACAGGCTTCCCCTTGTAGAGGCAGATCGCCGGCACCATGGGGGGCCTGGGCTTGGTCTCCGACGGCTCCACAGTCTGTCCCACTGTGGTGCAGTTATGCTCGTCCATGAGCCGGCGGACGATGCTGCGGAGACTGTAGTAGGAGATCTCGCCCTGGCAGCCTGGGGTGGTGATCATGCAGTGCCGGTAGGTGCGGAGCACGGTGCACATCAGCGTGTTGTCGTGAGGCCCGGGCCCGTCGATGCCTAGGTCCTGCCGGGCGCTCTCGTACTCGTCAGAGCAGCGCTCCACGTGGCAGTCCTCGCCCTGGGGGAAACTTTCCACTGGGAACACGAGAAAGAAACAAACATGACCAGTTAATTAACATCCCCTGCTTTTTTGTTTGAAAAAGAGAAGTGGGCTAGCCCGGGATAGGGAAATGTGGAAAACTTTCGTGGTCTATAACCCTGATCCAGGGTGAGAAGACAATGGTGGTGACATTGATATGCTACTTAAACGTGGGTAGAAGTGGATTTGACAGCCAAAAAAACAGGGTTAAATGAATCATAGCTTAACAAGGTACCCCGTGACATAACTCAACTGTGAGCCCTTGTTTGAGAGAAAGAGAAGTACACTGGAGCAATACCGGTCATTCCGTGCTGAGAAAAAAATAGGGCCCAGTTGGGTATGAAACATAGACCCATAATCGCCAAATGTCCTTCAAAGTAGGACTGATAAACAGAGAAAAAGAGAAAGACCAAGACCAATACAATGAAGGGATCAGGAGATACGATTTTTTCTTTTCATCAGCCCTCAATTTGGCACACCTAGGCCTACCTAGGAGAAATCTTGCACTGGGAATATCGACAGTATCAGGGGACATGATTATAGTACTATAATATCTCATGTCTTCATAACAATGTCCCACGGGAAAAGGGGGTGGGGGTGGGGGATAAGGCAGACGAAAGAAAGGAGGTAAAGAACAAAAATCCTACCGCTAGCACCCACCTACCACAAGAAAGTACACTCTAAACAAAAGTAAAAGGGATCGAAAGAGGAATACACATTTTTTAAAAAGGTGATGGGAGAATACACAGGACTCAAAAGAGACACGCTGCAGTTATCATAACTGGGGGCGGGGGAAGAGGAGAGGGCGGTAGGGAGTAGTTCAGTTGGTTCTAAGCGCGCTATGATGAGGCTAACCATGGTTCAAATCACCAAAAGGAGAGTACACATGTGTCATGTGTACATGGAGGAGACAAACTCATTCCCGCCTTTAAAATCTTTTACTGTCACACTGCGTTGAAGCGGGTGTAAAACACCATGCATGCTATGATGATACCGGGCTGAATTTCCAGTAAATTTTCAAGCACATTTTCATAAAAATTCTCATTTATGGTCAACCTTCAAGTCTCCTTTTCACGCCAAATTAAAAGAAAAAAGATCTAGGCTACTTGAAGACAGTGCTGTCAGCAATTGCTGAATTAGAATGATGACTTCAAAGGGTTCAAC